GGATGTCCTGCTGGTCCTGCACCACCTGCCGGTACTTGGCCAGGAACTCCTGCGCAAGCGACACACCGCAGTCAGATGCCTCTGCTCCACAGGGAGGTTAGTGGGTGAGTGCTGTGCGTGTTATATCCCGGGAGGTGGCGGTGTTCATCCCCCGTTGGAAGGTGAGATCCGGAGCCGAACTACACTTCGGCTTGAGGAAAATATTCCTCTCCAGGTATCTCCCCATCAACAGGACACCACCCCAGTCGGGACGAACTCGCTATTGTCTCCCAAAATGTATGAAAGGAAATACTTGTGTGTGTGTGTAAGGGTATGTGAGAGGACAAAAATAGGAAACAATTGCTTGCGGTTTGTAGTCCTGATAGGGTACTGCCCCGGCATTCGTCTAGAATTGACTAGAGAAACCTCGGTAAATAGCCGATCAAAGCAGCCGGCGTCTAGAATTTCCCTCGAAACATTTCAATTGGACTTATCAATATAACTTGGGTCAAAAAAACCCTAGAACCCTAGAACCTCCAGGTCAACGATGCTGCAAAGGCAACGGCGTTGCCACGACTTGCAACCAGTTCACAAAACATCTGTGATAATTCTTCTGTAAGACGGAAATTTGCAATTTAGGACAAAAGTTTCAGAATACGTAAAACTGACTTATCAAGCAGTAACCCTGACTAATCCTAAAATAGATTTGGGTTTAAACAATTCCAAGCGATTTCAACATAGACGAGGAGGAAATGTACTAAAACAAAATTTCCGGCATAATTTTTCGATAGGCGCAGCGAGGTCGGCCAGGTTCTCCGACAACGGACTCTACATCAAACCAATTCTACGTGCTATAGAGGACTATTTAGAAACGCTTTACTAAAAAATATTATCCAAAAGAATCCACTTTTAAAAATTCGTATAAATATTATTATTTAGCACGATCTCTAAATCTCGTAAAGCATTTTTTCAACCGAATTTAGGGCGAATCAATAAGAGGAACACCTCCCACTACAGAAGGAAACGTCATGTACTTACTTATATTTAAATGCACATATGCGTTTCTAAGACGAGTTCTAAAATATAGCCAGAGGAAAATGTTGAGTTGGATTAACAAATGTCTCCGCGTTCAATATACAAGACTGAGAAGTGAAAAGAAATTCTAAAATGTCGATGGCAATTAATTTAGACCAAAACATTGCACGACTAAAGCTCCAATAATTGTGCGAAGCCTGTATTTCAACATTCTACTGAATGTAATTTATTTACTTTTGATGATCATTTTAAAATTAATTATTACTTGAAATATGTGTAAAGTTGAAATTATAAACATGAGTTAGGTAAATTTTACTTAATTTGTTTATATTTATTCTGAAAATCGTAATAGTGAGGGTGGGAGATGGCAAAGTGTAAGAGAAGTGAATGTAGTGTATTGGTAGTGTTCATGTATAGCATGAGGTTAATAGTGAGAGGAATATTAAGAGGGAGGATGGGTGGGTGATGTAAAGGGCGAGCAGAAGGTGAAAGGGAATGGTGAGGTGAAGGGTGGGGTTGACGGCGATGAAAGGGGAGGGTGAGGTGAAGGGCGAGGGCGATGAAAGGAGAGGGTGTGGTGAGGTGTGAGGTTGAGGGCGATGAAAGGGGATGGTGAGGTGAAGGGTGAGGTTGTAGGCGATGAAAAGAGAGGGTGAGGTGAAGGGTGAGGTTGAGGGGGATGAAAGGGGCGGGTAAGGTGCAGGGTGAATTTGAGGGCGAGTGTGCGGGCAAACGCGTGGGCGAGCGCGCGCACCTGGAAGCTGGGCGTGCTCTGGCAGTCGCACGTCCAGGGGTTGTCGCCGAGGTAGAGGCGCGCGGCGTGGCGGTTGCGCTGCAGCGCGCTCTCCAGGGCGTAGGTGGGCAGGCGCGCCAGGCGGTTGCCGCGCAGGCTGAGCAGGCGGAAGCGCAGCAGCCACGCCGACCCCTCCAGCGCCGCCACCGACCGCACGCCGTTGCCGTCCAGGTACACGTCCAGCACGCCGCGGTAGTGCTCGTTCGTCACCAGCGGCCGCAGGTCCGAGATCTGCCCACGCACAAACACTTTGGGTCTCACGGGGAATCATCCAAGTGCTGAGCACGAGAACAGATTGGAAATACTAGATCAAGGAGGAGATGTTAAATTAATCCTCATCAGTGCAACCTCACGGCAATGAAGAAGAAGAGTGGGAGGAGAAGAAGCAGAAAAGAAGAAGCAGAAAAGAAGAAGAAGAAGAAAAGAAGAAGAAAAGAAGAAGAAGAAGAAAAGAAGAAGAAAAGAAGAAGAAGAAAAGAAGAAGAAAAAAGAAGAAAAAAAGAAGAAGAAAAAAAGAAGAAAAGAAGAAGACTCCTTCAACCTCGCGGCATTGAAGAAAAAGAAAAAGAAGAAGAATAGGAGGAGAAGGAAGATGAAGGCACAAGAGCAAGTAAATCATGAACTTTCCTCACGAAAGTGATACACTGATGAACGTTCGTGGATTTTAATGATGTCATTCGTACTATTTCGTTACTCAGTTGTGTTTTTTTTCACATCCAGGAGATATTATTTAAAAGTAGGAAATAACTGAACTGAATAAAACTAAGTCAGCGAATGTATTTATAAATCTTTCGTAACACAACGTACAGTGAAAATGTGAACTGTGTCTTCATCAGTTTACTCCAACGGAAAACCACATACAAGCGGTTCACAACGCCTGCAGTGAGTGTGGTTTGTGATCAGTTCGAGACGGGACGTTGAGGATCGGTGATGATCGGGACTGTGAGGCTGCAATGAGCCTGTTAGTGATAGGGGCAAGAAGTGAAGATGAGGAGGTGGGGATCGGCACTTATAACTGCAAACACGTTTAGTGTTGTTGAAATTACACTTCAATAAATTGTGTGACTTCATAAATTGTAATAATAATAATAATAATAATAATAATA